TGGAAAATTATAACCAGAAAAAGAATAAAAAAAAAAAAGAAACTAAATCCTAATTTCTTGATACAAACAAAACAACACAACGCACACAGCATTCAATAAAAACAAAAAAAAAAAAAAAAAAAAAAAAAAAAAAGAAAAGAAAAGGGGAAATTGAAAGTAGTAAAAATTATGGAATTCGTAATTAGACTGGAGAAACATTCCTATTGTTGTTCTGTTCCTGATTTTCTCTTTTTATTTTTATTTACTTTCATTATCATCATTAATATTAATATTAATAATATTATTATTATTCCATTGTTCTTTGATAATTCCTCTCCGCTTTTCCTTTTCTTGACTTTCAAGATAATAAGTTTGTTTAGAGAGAGAGAAAAGAGAGGGGAAGGAAAGTTGAGAGATTTGGTGTTTGGAACCCTAGATTTCTCTCAAGTTTCGGGCTTTTGGAATTTCCTACATCAATGGAGCCTGGGTCGGAGGGAGAGAATGATCAGACCAAGAGTAATACTAATCACAATACCGCCGGCAAAGGTGTGAACAATTCCGGCGAAGGAAGTGCCAAGCCTAAACGCCAGATGAAGACTCCATTTCAATTGGAAGCACTCGAGAAAGCCTATGCCGGTATGTGTTTCTGGATCGGTAACTTGTTTGTTTTGGAAAATTTTTTTTTTTTTCTGTGATGTTTGTTGATATATATATTTTTTTTTCATGGGTGTGGTTTTTTTATCAGTGGAGACGTATCCGTCGGAGGCGACGAGGGCTGAGCTGTCGGAGAGATTAGGGTTATCGGATCGGCAATTGCAGATGTGGTTTTGCCACAGGAGACTAAAAGACAAGAAGGAGACTTCAGCAAAAAGACCGCGAAAAGGTGCGGTCTTGCCACCAGAGTCGCCGGAGGATGACTTGCGGGGTGGCCCGGATCCAGATTATGGGTCCGGGTCGGGTTCCGGGTCAAGTCCGTATATGGAGTCAAGGAAGTTCGTCGGATCTTCTCGGGCCATGATTGATGATGCTCGGACGGTCAGGAGGTACTATGAGTCCCAGCAGATAATGGAGCTGAGAGCAATTACTTGTGTGGAGGCTCAGTTGGGGGAGCCGTTGAGGGAGGATGGTCCCATTCTTGGCATGGAGTTTGATCCACTGCCCCCTGACGCTTTTGGGGCACCTATAGGTATAATACATTTGCTGGAGTGTTGATTTCTGATTTTTCAAGTAGATATTGTTTATGGGAGTGAATTTGAAACAAACTTCTGAATTTTAGCTGCGAATTATGAGCTTTATATATATAGTTGGATTGATATTGATGATGTTTAGCTCGTGTATGGTGATATCATGATTCTATTTAGCTGTGAAATTGAAATTAGATTTTTAATGTGTTTTATATTCCTCGGATGTTGAAGTTAATTAATGTGCAATGTATTATACTTTAATTACCAAAATTTATTTGATTGCTTGTGTATGATTGTCTTGCTGAAAAATGTATGGTTCTTTTGGTGTTACTTTTATATTCTTGTGCACTTGTCTTTCTGCTAACTTCCTGTTGCATGTGAAGCAGCTGTGCCAGAACCACAGAAGAGAGCTGGATATCCTTTTGAGAGCAAAATATATGAGCGACCCAATGCCAGACCAAGCAAAGTTAGTTCTCAAGTTCCATTTAAGTTTTTGTTGGATGCAAGTACAGTTAGCATTCTTAGCCTGGGATAAGAACTAAGAAGCATGATGCTGTGATGTACGATGTAGTTATGGTCATAGGCTTTGTATACTTGGTCTGCATTGTACCATGCATCTTCCTTCAAAATTTTACAACCATTAGGTATTATGAACTCCCTTCACTATTATAGCTATATTCAGGTTTATTAGTATTGAATCTGTCCTCTTTTAGCTGATGTTTATCTAGCTATCTTTTTAGAACAATGCCTCTTTGGGCTTTAATAATGCTTGTCAAGAAGAAATTGCTTTTCAGATTCAACTGGTAATTTTAGGTGGCATTTTATTCCATTATAATGTTCTTCCATGTACTGATGACGTGTTTATTCTTTTTGTTCTGATTCTGTAATCCTCTTCAGAGGTAGTTATGGTAATTGGAGAGCAAGAGCATTACTGATTTAGTTGTCATTCATATTCATGTTTCCGCTGTTTCCTCTTCTTTCTTGTTTAGTCATGCTACTATTGTTTCTATGCCAGTATGCCCGGGATTGAGAAGCATGGAGATAAGTTAATTGCTAATTGTTAATTGTTACTATGGGTAAAAAGTTGATTGTTTGTTCTATGATTCCTGCTCTCTTGAGGAAAAAGAAAGATTCTTGATTTAAATGAATCTCTATGTAAATTGTATATAGGCTTTTTTTTTTTCTTTTTCCTTTTTGTTTTTTTTTTATTTATTTATTTTAAATGCATATTTGTTGCTTTTTCTTAATGGTTATCAAAATTTATGTCTTACATGGTTCTTTTGGGTTAACTAAGTGGTGTTGTATGAATTTAGTCTCAGGCACCACGGGCCTTCCACGATTATCAGTTCTTTGAAGATCAACCCGTTCTTAGATCTGATACACATGGACAAGGTGCCCAATCTCATTTCCACGATATGCCAGTTGATGCTCCAAGGGTTAGAGCCACATCATCTGTACATGGAGATGAAAAACTGTCCAAGGGTCGTGGTAGCCAAGGTCATGGATCACGAGGGCATAGCTTATCTCAACAAGACAAGGCAGGGCTTTATTCTTCATCTTCTCAAGTGGTGGATGACTTTCCAGAAAGGGAGTCTTTTACAAACAATGGTCAGGCAATTGGCCACCCAGTTTTGGGATCTGAAGATTCATATATAGTTTCCAATGGAAATGGACATGGACATCCTTTGGGTACTGATGCTGATCTAAGAATGGAGAAGAAACACAAGGTACCGTGTTGTGTTGTTAAAATGTTTTTCAATTATTTTTTGCTTTCTCTGAGGGATTTGTAATTGTATATTAGTTTTCCTTTTGTAGAGTGATGAAGGTCGAATTGCAAGGGAAGTCGAAGCTCAGGGGAACCGTGCCCGTAAAGAGCTTGAGAAACTCAATAACCAGAGGCGAAAGGTTTTTATTGTTCCATACAATGTTAACCCTGTTTGGTAAAAACCTTTCTGTTACTCTTATTCTAAGCATGTTCTTTTCAGAGTGAAGAACGAATTCGGAAAGAAATGGAAAGACTTGAGCGTGAGCGACGGAAGGAAGAAGAGAGGTTGATGCGTGAAAAACAAAGAGAAGAAGAGAGATCTCAAAGAGAGCAAAGACGTGAAATTGAAAGAAGGGAAAAGTTTTTGCAGAAAGAATATTTAAAAGTAAGTTCTGGAATGTTTTGAGGCGAGTTATTCAGCAACAAATGTTTTGAATTTCAAGATAATGATAGAAAATATGTATTTTTGTTGTTTATTTAAAGGCTGAGAAAATGAGACAAAAAGAGGAGCTTCGTAGAGAGAAAGAAGCAGAGAAACAAAGAATTGCAATGGAGAAGGCAACTGCACGTAAAATTGCTAAAGAATCATTGGATCTTATTGAAGATGAGCAGCTGGAACTCATGGAATTGGCTGCTGCAAGCAAGGGATTGTCTTCAATAATAAATCTTGACCACAATACTGTGCAAAATCTTGATTCATTCAGAGGTAATTGCCTTTTCCCAACTGTGAAACTTTAATACAGAATTTGGTGGATTGGTAACTGGAGGAGCACTAAAATTCTGACATGTACCATTTTCGAAAACAGGAGCCTCTCTTGTCAACAAATGATACCCCATTAATTGTGCTAATTGGCTTCTCCTTAATTATATCAAAGAGCTGATTAAAAGAAATTATATCAAAGATTTCTGGGTCTATTTGTTTACTTACTCTCCTTAATGGAAGCTTTCTTATAAATGAATATGAATTGTGTGAAGTTACTTAAACAATAGCACTGCATCTGAAAGAGGTTCAAGTAGCATCAAGTTCATCTACAAGTGGTTCAAATATGATGTTGCAGCTTTCTTGTTTCTACTCCATCTGTTCAACTCAGTGTGCTACTTGGCTTATAAATTCACTCACTTTCTTCCCTTTGTAAATGCCCATCATTTTCAGATCAGTGGATTGCTTGTTCTTCCGATGATCTTATCTTGTTATCCATTGTCCTACATATCTACTTATTTTGTCTTCTGTTTACCCTTTGGTGTCTCTGAACTGAATCACATAATTTGTGATCTAGATTCTTTGAGCTCATTTCCCCCCAAGTCTGTGCAATTGAAAAAGCCATTCTCCGTCCAACCATGGAGTGATTCAGAGGAGAATATTGGGAATCTTCTCATGGTATGACCTTATGCTGACTTGTTTATTAGATGATTTGGGTGGGCTAATGTTATCAATTTAGCCTATTTCTCAAGTCCAATAACATGGTTCATTTCAGGTCTGGAGATTTTTGATTACTTTTGCTGATGTTCTTGGACTGTGGCCTTTTACACTTGATGAATTTGTCCAAGCATTTCATGATTTTGTGAGTCTGTGGTTGGATCCTTCTCATCATCACTTACTGCATTAGTTTTCCTTTTTCATGATATTTATGCTATTTTGATGCCAGGATTCAAGGTTGTTGGGTGAGATACATGTTGCTCTTTTGAAATCAATAATAAAAGACATTGAAAATGTTGCAAGGACACCATCAACTGTATCAGGGATAAGCCAATACTGTGCTGGTAATCCTGAAGGAGGACATCCACAGATTGTGGAAGGGGTAACTTCTGGTGGCTCAATGTGTTCATTATGATTTTTGCTGTTCCCTGTACTGAATTTTTTTGTCTCCCAATGTTTATCTGTGTATCAGGCTTATGCCTGGGGCTTTGACATACGCAATTGGCAACAGCACTTGAATCCACTAACATGGCCTGAAATATTCCGGCAGTTAGCAATATCTGCAGGATTTGGTCCAAAGTTGAGGAAAAGAAGTGGCAAATTGACATTCTTGGGTGATAACAATGAGGTTAGTTTCTAGCATTTATCTATTTCTTTGTGATATTAAGAATTGACTTCTATGTTGGTGCAGCATTTAGTATAACAGTGGCTCCACCTATTTTAATAACATAATTCATTTGGCTGAGAAAAAAATGTATATAAAAACAATGGCTGAAATTCATAACTGCAATGCTATTATATTTTCTGTACTGCAGGGTCAGGGTTGTGAAGATGTAATTTCTACTCTACGAAATGGTTCAGCGGCTGAAAATGCATTTACATTGATGCGGGAAAAAGGTTTGTTAGTTCCAAGAAGATCTAGGCACCGGTTGACTCCTGGAACTGTCAAATTTGCAGCTTTCCATGTCCTATCACTTGAGGGAAGCAAAGGATTAACAGTTTTAGAACTTGCTGATAAGATTCAGGTTAGTATGGTTTGTTGTTAAATTAGGTTAAGACGTGTTCTTGTTACAGTTTTGACAAGGTTTTCTGGAATCCTTTTATTGTTAGAAATCTGGACTTCGGGACCTCACAACTAGCAAGACGCCAGAGGCTTCTATTTCAGTTGCCTTGACAAGGGATACTAAACTTTTTGAAAGAATTGCTCCATCGACATATTGTGTACGCCCTGCTTATACAAAGGATCCTGCTGATGCTGAGGCCATACTCGCTGAGGCAAGGAAAAAAATTAGAATCTTTGAAAATGGGTTCTTGGGTGGGGAAGATGCTGATGAAGTTGAAAGAGATGAGGACTCTGAATGTGATATAGATGAGGATCCTGAAGTTGATGATATGGCTACTCCTTCCAATGCAATCAAGAACGTTGGTTATTATAAGGATAAAGTAAATGCTTCCCCAGGAAGTGGAAGAGATCACATCTCAACTGGCAATGCACCAAATTTGCAAGATGAGATTGTCAAGGATTTTTCGTCTTTTCCTTTAGACAGTGCCAAGGATTCAAATGGTTCAAGTTGCACTGGGCAATATGTTGCCAGTGAAGATGCTGTTGCCAGAAGGCTTGATCAACAGAATGTTGAAATCGATGAAAGCAAGTCGGGCGAGTCATGGATTCAAGGTCTTTCAGAAGGCGAGTATTCTCATCTCAGTGTTGAGGAGCGTCTTAATGCCATTGTTGCTTTGATTGGTATTGCAAATGAAGGGAACTCCATACGTTCTGTGCTTGAGGTAAAGCTTTATATTTAGTTTTCTATTTCCTTTTTGAATGCTGGTTTTGTTTCTGATTTGAGAGCAATAATGGTTTTCTCTCTTCATAATTTTATATTCTGGATTTACAGGATCGTCTGGAAGCAGCGAATGCTCTTAAAAAGCAAATGTGGGCTGAGGCACAACTAGATAAAGGTCGCCTGAAAGAAGAGAATAATACTAAACTGGATTTTCCATCTCTTTTGGGAAGCAAAGCTGAAGCACAACTTACAAACTGTACCGTTGAGGGTAACCAAAGCCTATCACCTCTTGCTGATTATAAAATTAACAAGGCATCTCCTAGCATTCCTGAAGATCAAAAGCCAATGGTTTGTTCACAGACTGTTCATAATGACCAGAACAATTATAATTCTGAAAGGATGCCATTACTTCAAGAGCACTCAAAAAGGTCACGGTCACAATGGAAATCTTACATTGCCCACAGAGCAGAAGAGATGTATGTATATAGGTCCTTACCGCTTGGCCAAGATCGTAGACGTAACAGATACTGGCAATTTGTTGCATCCCCTTCTAAAAATGATCCTTGTTCTGGCCGGATATTTGTTGAATTACAAGCTGGCAATTGGAGGTTGATTGACACTGAAGAGGTATGTCCATAAAACTTGTAATGAGAACTCTGAGTGGATAGATTTTGCATCGAATTAGTAAACTTTTACATTGCATTTAGATTTTTATGTTTTGTTCATTGTTATTTATTCCACTCAACCTCTGTGTAGGCCTTTGATGCCCTTTTGACATCACTGGATGCACGTGGGATCAGGGAATCCCATTTGTGTATAATGTTACAAAAGATTGAGACTTCCTTCAAAGACAATGTTCGAAGGAACATGCAATCGGTCAGCATGGTGGAAAAAAGTAGAATTGCCACTGATAATGATTCTTCCGAACTGGAAAGTCCTGGCTGTGCTCCTAATTTTGATAGTCCTAGCAGTGCAGTTTATGGTTTGAATTCCAATACATCAGATATGTCACCGTCTTTCAGAATTGAGCTTGGGAGGAATGAAATAGAGAGGAAATCAGCCTTGACAAGGTATCAAGATTTTCAGAGGTGGATGTGGAAAGAATGCAATAAGTCATCAACATTGTCTGCCATGAAAATTGGGAAGAGGAATTGCATGCAGCTGTTGGCTAATTGTGATGTGTGTCTTGACACCCATCTCTGTGAAGAAATGCACTGCCTTTATTGCCACCGGACATTTAGTACAGTTGAAAGAAAGTTTGATTTTTTAGAACATGAGATTCAGTGCAAAGAGAGCAGGAAGTTAGACACCAAGGACTCACAAAATTTTTATTCTTCTCTTCCCCTGGGAATCAGATTGCTCAAAGCCTTGTGTGCTCTAACTGAGGTCAGATTCAACTAGTGAATTTCCAATATCATTGTTGTATACCTTGACTATATCTACGTTTTCTCTTCGGCAGGCATGTGTTCCATCAGAAGCCCTTGAATCATTTTGGACTGAAGACCATCGAAAGACTTGGGCAATGAGGCTGAATCTGTCTTCATCTGCTGATGAACTCTTGCAGGTCCTTATTTGTTTTATTTTATTTTATTTTTTATGAAAGGCCCTCATTTATTTTAAATATATATCTAATCATAACCATCAAAGCTACTGCATTTGTTAGTTTTCCTTCTATACTTGTTCCCTTTCTGAATTATGATCTACCAAATATTTTCATGTATAAATATTATTGTGCCAAGGCATGCTATTATTCAATGCTTTTAACCATTCAGCTTTGAACGTAAAATGCTTGTGGCTGTGATTCTTAAATTTGGATTTTTCAGTCTCTGTCAAATAAAGTTTTTCACATATTAATTTCATGTTGGTATTGCAGATATTGACTCATTTTGAGAGTGCCGTTAAGCCAGACTATTTATCATCAAACTTTGAGACGACCAAAGAATTGTTGGGTCTGAAAACTCTTACAGGTAGTGGTTATGCTGATCCTCAATCAGTTCCTGTACTTCCTTGGATACCTCAAACCACTGCAGCTGTAGCTTTGAGGCTTTTGGATCTTGATGCATCCATCACATCTGTAAAGCAGGAGAAAGCTGAACCTATTCAAAGCAAGGATTCTAGGAGTAGGACATATATAGTGAGTTTTTCTCTGCTTTTCCCCAACTTTTTCATCCTTAATATTATGTGCTAGGAGTACTGCCTAAAGAGAAATTGCTGCTTCAGAATAGATCTTGTTTTGATGAATCCCTAGAAAGCTGTATAGTTTTGAGGCATATATGTTGTCTAAACATTGTTAGCCTGTTGGGTAGTCTAAAGTGTCTAACCAGGTCCACATCAATTGGCTGCCCACTCATTCATTGGCTGTATATAAAATAGGTCATACGCGTTTTTTTTCCCTCATTTTATGTGAAGCGTAGTTGTGTCAGCTAACCATTTCTTCAAATATTCAGAAGCTTCCTTCAAGATCCTCTCTTGCTGTCAAGAGTAAAGAGCTTGAACTAAAGGAACTGGACCCAGATGTGCCCATGAAAGAAGAAAACTTCACTACCCTGAGTAGCAAACGGAACAGCCATAAGCGAGGAAGAGGGGGTCGTGAACAAGGATCTGGTAGAAAGTTGCAGAGAAGAGTTCCTGCTCGTAAAAATGATAGTCTGAGGCAAAGTGCTAAGAGGAGCAATAATTTAAGTCTCAGACTGAGACAGCAGGGACCTAGAACAAATGGACAGGGTTCTGGACGAGGACGCCGGACAGTTAGAAAGAGAGCAGAAAGGAGAGGCGTTGACAATACACTGTTGAGCCGAATGGTTGACGTAGTTGAACCTAGTACCCATCCAGAGTCTCCAAGAAACTTGAATGAAGAATGGGGTGGTGAAAATATCGGGATGATGCATGTGGCTGGTGCTGATGATAGTAGCAGTGCAGAAGTGGAATCCGATGACAATGTTCAAGATGGAGGAGGTTACGAGCAAGGAAATTGGGAGGAGGTAGGTTTTGGTGGTGGCTCTACCGAGTGGAATGGGGATCCTATGGAAGTCAGTGATGAAGAAGATGATGCTTCTGGAGATAATGGCATTGAACAAATGGGAGATGAAAATTCAGAGGCAGATCTTGATGTGAGTGAAGGATCTGATGGACTAGCCAATAAAATTGAAGATGATGAAAGCTCTGAATCTTCGGACGATTATAGTGACTGATAGGCATGTTCAAGAAATTTCCTTCGCACGAGCTGCATTGTATTTTTAAAGTTGCAGCTTTACAAGTGATTAATTGTTTACAGGGAAATAGAGATGCAATTTCCCCTGTTGTTACCTAGTCTGGGGAAGGGAGGGAGGGAGGTATTCAATGTAACATTAGAGATTTTCATCTATCCGAGCCAAGTGAAATTACATAGTAAATTAGTAAATTCAAACGTTTAATGTAACAAATCATTTTTTCTCATCGTAAGCTGGCCAACAATGAGGGGCGTTCTCAATTTGTATGTGTTTTCTTGAGTTTCTAGAATCAAGGGTAATATTTCTTGTTTCTTCCTGTTATTCTTCATATTAATGATGATGAAGAATGTTGCTTTCTTTATTACGCTCCCATGTTCCATGAAGTGATCTTCATAGGGTGCTAAATTGTTGAAACAGGAATATCCTATTGATATCAATCCGAGTTTAGACTAGCACTTGGTCTCCCAAATGCCCAAAAAAATAATTTGTTATCATTAACAAACATTCTCCACCACATTTGCTAGCTCTTTGTTCATCTGGATACCAAACGTGTTACTTGGATCTCACAAGGCAATATAAATCACTGTTTTTCACAATGGGAGGTATTCACAGGGGTGAAGGGATATCATAGGATGTGATGAAATATGAGCTCCTATCCAGGCTATGGTTGTAGTAGTTTCTTAATCCCTGCCTTCTGCTCTGCAGTAACCTTGTTGGGAATTTGATATTGAATTTAATTCTCAGGTTACCTCTCTTTGATGGATCTTTTGGTACTGGCATACCTTCCCTAGGAACGATCTCCAGTTTGGAAGAAAGTGGCTCCACCAGGACCATCTGGTGGTGGAACGTGGCCTTTGAGCCCTTCTTCACCATACTGATCGATCATAAATTATTGCTCTCTTCTGGGAATCACTTTGAACCTGCGGCATGAAAGTTAGGCCAAATTCCAGCATGACTTTTGACAAGGAACACACGATGGAGTTACCAATTTTCTGATTTTCAAGTAAAGCATTTGTAGCATGAGTTTAAATTCTTAAAAATTGAAAATTTAAGGACACCCAGATGAAAAAAATGTGATTTCGAATATCCCAAAATGTGATTATTATACAAAGAGAAAAATGATCTTACCTCATAGGCTTCAGAGATCTGCTTGAATTTGGCCTCTGCTTCTTTCTTGTTATTGGGATTCTTATCAGGATGCCATTTCATAGCAAGCTTCCTATAAGCCTTCTTTTCTGCTCACTTCTCGTTTTTCACCATCTACTGCTCACTTCTCGTCTTTCACCATCTACAACTCAAGTCGAAGGAATGCCAATCGTTCTTCATATGTTCCATCTCCTTGATTGGTTCTCAATTATCGTGAATGTATAGAAGCCGATCATAACCCCATCACATGTTTCGTTTCAACATAAAAACTAGGCGTGAGAGTTTTAACCATTGGTTAAAGAATCATTGAACGACCCATCACATGTTTTGATGTTATATTATAATAAAAAAAATCTAATAGTTATATAATAAATATTTAATTTTTTTTTTCTTTTACATTTCTACATTATGAAACTCTAATTTTTCTACTTTTAAAGAAACAACAAACTTTAACAACCCTAAATTCCTATTCAAATTTGAAATATCTTCTTTACTCTTATCTTTCACCTCAATTCATGAGGATAATTTTATTTTATTTTATGTTATTTTTTAATTGCGGAATTGTTAATCAGGAAGAGTGGCTAGTGTTAATTAGTGCCTCTGCCGTGTCTGAAGAAAAGATCCCTCGCTCTTCAACACCATGCCAGTTCGGCAAACAAGGCGACTTGTCAAGACCAAGACCAAGAGAAAACTTCTGAGGAAAAAGAGTTCAGAGCACACAAAGAGCTGCCAATGTTGGTGCATTTTTCTCTCCTTTTATTTTTTATTTTTTTTATTTTGTGTTTTTTTTTTTTTGAACACTGAGAAATTTTGAGAGATGAGGAAAATATTACAACTATTTTAATAGAAATTCAAACTTTGACATTACTTAAGGTATTTGACATACATTATTAATTCATTAGAGACTGTTAATATATCTTATTTTAATAAAAATTCAAACTTTAGTATGATATAAAGTATTTGATGCACATTACTAACACATTAGATATTGCTAATACATCTTATATATTTTTTAACAATTTAATTGATTTTGTAAGATATTTTTTATAAACTATAACAAATTTATTTCTTTTAGTTTATAGTGATGATTCAAAATCAGATCACAATGAAGGGAGCACAATGATTATATCTTATGTGCAGAGCACAGGGAGCAGCAAGCCATCTCAAATTAATCAGGATTTCTTTGCCTTTAAGGTAAGTAGAATTCAGAATAGATATAACCAAATCCACTTAACAAGAAGCAGCAGTAATGCTTCATGTGAAGAAGGAAGCTAAGCTTGAGGAATCAAAACCAGAATCTGAGGAATTAAAACTTGAATCAGATAAGGAAACAATCATCAAGAAAGAAAGGGAAACTATCTCACCAAAATCAAAGGCAAAGCACATTGACGCAACGGTCAGATGGCAATGTTCATAAGCTTAATATCAAGCGCAGATAGATAGATACAAATACATTTCTGTATATATATATATGTATCTCTCAGTGCTGTACTAATGAACAACAGAAAAAGGAATACAGATTCAGTATTCTTCACATCCCTTGCTTTTAAGTTTTCAATATGGTATCAGAGCATAGGTTCTACCATCGGAAGCCCGTTGTTAGCCCACTTGACAGGACTCAAAGTTGATACCGGGCCTGCAATTAAGGGGGCGTGTTTGTTAAGTGGGAAAATCCCACATCGAGTGTGGGTTAAATACAAGGAGGGCTACTCCACCTATTGCCAATTGGTTTTAGGTTGGATGCAAGCCTTGTGTTGAGCCCACATGCAGGATTTTCAATATGGTATCAGAGCACAGGTTCTACCATGGGAAGCCCATTGTTAGCCCACCTGACAGGACCCAAAGTTGATACCGGGCTTGCAATTAAGGGGACGTGTTAACCCACGTGACAAGACCCGACATTCATAGCGGGTCTGCATGTGAGGAGGCGTGTTAAGTGGGAAAATCCCAAATCAAGTATAAAAATAATAAGCTTGTGGGTTAAATACAAGGAGAGCTACTTCACCTATTGCCAATTGGTTTTAGGTTGGATGCAAGCCTTGTGTTGAGCCCACATGCAGGATTTTCAATATGGTATCAGAGCCCAGCTTCTACCATGGGAAGCCCGTTGTTAGCCCACCTGACAGGACCTGAAGTTGATACTGGGCCTGCATTTAAGGGGGCGTCTTAACCCACGTGATAACCCTCTACATTTATAGCGGACCTGCACGTGAGGGGGCATGTTAAGTGGGAAAATCCCACATCGAGTGTGGGTTAAATACAAGTGCTTGCACCCACCTACAAAGTGTATCTATATTTCTAGGCATGTTGTGTTTGATGAACATTTTCTTCCATATAATGATTTAACAAAAGTTTCAAGTGTTTTTAGTACAGGTGGTGAACTCTGCAAATACCCAGACCATGATGAATGGATACAAAGTTTCTCTCATCTACAACCCTCAAAACTAGAAGAGCATGTGTCTATGCCTTCTCAGCATCAACACATCACAAACATTGACATTGATGGTCTTGAGGACGAACAAACCAATGTTAATGCTAATGCAACAAATATTTTGAACGAGGTGTCTGTAGAAGAGAAAATCGAGAGAGATAATACTCAATTTGAGATAGTGCATAAGACTCTCACTAACAACACTGCTCAGACTATTGATACCCCAACTCTTAGTTCTCAAGAAGAGGCAGAACCTCACCAAACCAATGAGGTGTTCAACTCGGAACAATCATTTTCCACTTCTCAACCACCTCATGAAGGTGAATTAAGACAAGATGGCATGGCTTCTAGCTCAAGTTGTGCAGGGATCCCACCTCCGCCACACAATGCTACATCAACTTCCACTCATCCTATGATAACAAGATCTCGAGCAGGGAAGCATACTGGTCATATCAAAACTGATTTTTCAAAACATGGTTACACCATGACCATTGATATTTCTTCTTTGTCTAATGCAAATTTAGACGCTAAAGAACCAAAAACTGTGAGACAGGCATTACAACTTCCACAGTGGGTCAAGGCAATGCAAGAAGAGCTTGAGGCACTTCATAAGAATAACACCTGGACACTAGTTCCTCCACCTTCATCCAAGGCAAACATTGTGGGCTCAAAATGGATTTTTAAGACAAAACTCAAGCCAAATGGGACTGTGGACAGATTTAAGGCACGGTTAGTTGCAAAAGGGTTCTC